CCCTTCTTTACCTCTTTGCCTTTTGGCTGCGTGCAAGTGGGTCCTTGTGACACACGGGGATGGGGGCAGCCAGCGCTCAACCTGTCATCCACGTGGCTGGCCTTGTACGTAAGAGGTTATGAACAGGTGGAGCTTTCCTTACCTCTTCCCCCTCCCCCTTTTTTCCTTTTCCTTTTTTCTTTCCCCTTTTTTGCGCTCTGATTCACAATGTGACAATATATATACCGACAGGTACCTCTCTCTCTTGTGACGAATAGGACTTAGATGCAAGCCTGGTAGAGCACGCCGCCGCTTCCGACAACAATCAATCGACCTGGGATTCCCTCCACAATCTACCTGGTAGACCCAACCTGGCTCTACCACTACTAGGCTTGCTCAACCTGGGAAGTACTCAACAATCAGCCTGGGAATTCGTCAACAATCAGCCTGGGAATTCGTCAAGAATCAAAGTGGTAGAGCCTGAGAAGAAATCCTGAACGATCTATCTACCATTCTCTACACTTCCGCCGGTGCTGCAAAAGAATGTTTATAGGTGATATACCGGCGAGATCCAACTGGTTTTGTTTGATGTCCCTATTTTTTGGAAGTCATCTATTAATAGTACCTGCCTAACCCGAAGGGGACCTACTAGTAATAGGAAAGCACTGACACTGACGAACTCATCAGTAATCCGGAAGGGGTCTATGCATCTGCATCTGCATCTCAGAGGATCCGAAGTACCCGCCATGAAATTTAATTGAATGAATAAATTTCATGATGATTGAATGAATAATTTACTTTAATTAATTAACTAATTGCATTGGGGAAGGGATCTAAGAAAGTGTCTGATAGTAAGGCTATATACTCATCATCTATCTATGCACTTGGTCGAGAAAGGCGCCTATATCCAGAAATAAAATATCTATCTATCCTAATCGTAAGTTGTGTTTGAGAGCTGGGAGTGCCCCTTTTCCACTCACTGATTTTTCCCAATCTTGTACAGTTTGGTCAGTGATTCCAAGCGGAACTGTTTGTGTCTGGTTTCGCACTTAAAACGTTTTTTTTTTTTTTTTTTTTATGTGTCTGGTTTCGCACTTAAAAACGTTTTTCCCCAGATCCCTTCCCTCAATCTTGAAAAAATTCCTTGACCTCTTAGTTCCAAGTTTGACTTTTGCTCCGTACATTTTGGCCTGAGAGTGACGTAAAATAGTGGAAAAACAGATAGACTTGATATTGCCATCGAAACGAAAACTCATTTTGGCTCTGAGATGAAATGATTGAATCCTAAATTTTGGGAACGAAAACTCATTTTTTCCCTTGATATTGCAATTGAAACGAAAACTCAGAGAATGATATATAGTCCCTTTTTGATTGGAATTCAAAATGAGGCTAGTGAATTCTTCCCACCGCGGCCTCGGCGATCAGCACGAGATCGCCGCTAGCACTCTTCGCATGAAGTCTCCATGCTATCACCATGAACTTTCCTTGGTTGGGTACAATAGACATGAACTGTCGATGACTACTACTCTTTGTAAGAAGCTCTCTCTTTCACTTCGGGGTTGGGTGAGTGTGGTTACTCCTCTCTGAGTGTCAAATATAGCGCTATATTTGACACTCAGAGGGGAGTAACCACACTCACACAACCGAAGTGAAAAAGATGAGTGCATGTCATCTGTTTCACTTCGGAAGAGAACAGTGAAAAAGTTCTCTCGGTAAGAAGATCTGAATCTGTCTTTTTTTCCCGCATGACGATCAGTTTGATGGTTATCAGACTGTTCAGAACGAAATCACTGGGGAGCATGGTTTTGGACACCTTAAGCACAATGGTAAAAGAGAACAAAAAGGAGGGGGGGGGGGGGGGGGGGGGGAGAAAAAGAAAGAAGAGGAGTATCTCATGGAAGAGACTACCGGGGAGAAGGATATAGACGAAAGCGGCATTTGGGAGGAAGAAGTGACGATGGGTGTGGTGGTATGGATGAAGAGGAGATAGATGAGCAGGTGGCGCTAAGGACTGTGCTGTGTAGGGGGAGGAAGGGGTGTCATGAGGAGCAGGAGGAGGAGGAGTGGGGATGTGTGTAGGAAGGCGTTGTTCTAGTAGGCGGTGGAGGTGATGATGGTGGTCGCGGTGGTGGTGGTAGTAGTGGGAGGAGGAGTGGGGGTGTTGTTGGGCAGGTGTTCTAGTAGCAGTGGCGTGTGGGGAGGTGTTCTAGTAGTAGCAGTAGCAGTGATGGTGCTGGTGATGGTAGTAGTAGTGAAAAAGGAAGGGGTGTAAGGAGGAGGAGGAGGACGGGGAGGAGGAGGAGGAGGAGGAGGAGGAGGAGGAGTGCGGATGTGTGTAAGAATGCGTGGTTCTAGGAGGTGACGGAGGAGGAGTGGGGTTGCTAGGGAGGTGTTGTAGTAGTAGTGGCGTGTGGGGGGGAGGTGTTGTAGTAGTAGCAGCAGTAGTGGTGGTGGTGATGGTAGTAGTAGTAGTAGTAATGGTAGGAGGAGGAGGACTAGGAGCACCAGCAGGAGGAGGAGGAGGAGGAGGAGGAGGAGGAGGAGGAGGAGGAGGAGCACCAGGAGTAGGACGAAGAACAGGATGAGAATGAAAATGAGGAGGACAAAGGAAAAGGAGGAGAAGGAGGAGGAGGAGGAGGACGAGGAGGAGGAGGAGCACCAGGAGGAGGACGAAGAAAAAGGATGAGAATGAAAATGAGGAGGACAAAGAGGAGGACAAAGAAAAAGAGGAGGAGGAGGAAGAGGATAAAGGAAAGGAGGAGGAGGAGGAGGAGGGGAAGGTTAAACCTCTGTCCGTGTCCTGTGTTCCCAGTAGTGCGCCGGGCAATTGCAGCCGGGCAATTGCACTACGTCTTGATGGCAGGATGATGAGGAAATACGGAGAGAGAGAGTGGAGGTGAAGGAGGAGGAAGAGAGGAGGTAGAGAAGGAGGTAGTGAAGGAAGAGAGGAGGGGGAGGAGGAAGAGAGAGAGGAGGGGGAGGAGGATGAAAGGGAGGTGGAGAAGGATGCAACGTTGGAATAGGAGAGAGCGGCCACGCCAACGCGTGATTTGTTTGCACCTGTAATATCTAAATAATCTATGGGCTACCTGTTGTTTGCTATGTGGGCAAGCGACGGAAGGGGCTTCTGAAAGGCGGGGGGACAGTGGAACTCTGGGGCACAGAGACGGTACCTGCGGTCCCAAAAAAGGCCTTTTTTTGGAAACCACGGTACCGGGTAAGAATCAAGTTTGCACAAACAAACAAACAAACAAACAAACAAACAAACAAACAAACAAAAACAGAAAACAAACAAAAAAACAAACCAAAAAAAAAAAACTAGGCCTTGAGATATCATCATTGAGATATCATCATTGAACTGACTGGCCCCAGGCAATTCAGAATGGTCTGAGTCTGTTCATCTGATAGTATGTGGATTCGAACTTGGGTCTGTATTTCTACAGTTCATGGGTGTACCAACTGAGCTAGGCCCATTGGTGCCTCTCTCTTTCTTCATCGTCCCTTGCCTTTTTCTTTCTCTATTTCCCTCCGCAGCCTTTTTTTTTTTTTTTTTTTTTTTTTTGGGTGGGTTGGGGGCCCCGCAAACAGCACCTGTCAACACATTGCTTGCTTTCTTCAACGAGTGCCATGGGTCAGCAGTCACGCTGACCTGGAACCGGTCAACGCTGACCTGGAGCCAGTCAACGGTTAGAGTAATCCGTCAGGTCCAGGTCAGGTCAAAGTATGACTGTTGACGATGTGTTTTGCAGGCAGGTCCAAGCCAACGTTTTGGTCAATGATCCGTCACAGTCGGGTCCAATTTCGTCAGGGTGAGGTCAGTCGGACCGTTGACCTTGCATTTAACTCTTCTGCGTGTAGGTGACGGCCATCGCCATTGCCTGAGCATCAAGGAGGAGGGAGGCCATAGATCCGTTCCAAGAAGAAGAAGAAGTTGAAGAACGAGGAAAAGGGAGCTGCACAACAGTTCCGTCTCTCTCAGGAGAATCATCATCATCATCAGCAGCAGCAGCAGCCGCAGCTATGGAGAGCGCTCTCTTTGCAGGGTTGCATTTTGACAAAAAGCGCTTCAAGAAGGATATCGAGCTGTTCCACGGTAGCAAACAGGTCAGTTTTAATGCGTTCAAAGTCCTCAGTTTGAATCCATGTGAAATCCTCAGTTGGAATCCGTTTGAAGTCCTCAGTTTGAATCCGTTTGAAGTCCTCAGTTTGAATCCGTTTGAAGTCCTCAGTTTGAATCCGTTCGAAGTCCTCAGTTTGAATCCGTTTGAAGTCCTCAGTTTGAATCCGTTCGAAGTCGTCAGTTTGAATCACTGCGAATCCGTTTGAAGTTCTGAGTTTGAATCAGTTCGACGTTCTGAGTTTGAATCAGTCCTCGATTTGAATCCGTTTGATATCCTCGATTTGAATCCGTATGAATATGAATCAGTTTGAATCAGTTCAGTTTAAAACGGAGGGAAACAGTCAGCAGTCTCACCAAACTGACGGAGAGCCGTGTGCTTGGAAATCTTGCATGCACGGTCCGTAGTTTGAATCCGTTTGGAGTCCTCAGTTTGAATCCGTTGGGGCAGCCCTCAGTTTGAATCCGTTGGGGCAGTCCTCAGTTTGAATCCGTTGGGGCAGTCCTCAGTTTGAATTCGTTTGAAGTCCTCAGTTGAAATCCGTTTGAAATCCTCAGTTTGAATCCGTTGGCAGTCCTCAGTTTGAATCCGTTTGAAGTCTTTAGTTTGAATCCGTTTGAAGTCTTTAGTTTGAATCCGTTTGAAGTCTTTAGTTTGAATCCGTTTGAAGTCTTTAGTTTGAATCCGTTTGAGGTCTTTAGTTTGAATGGGTTTGAATTCAGTTGGCAGTCTCAGTCTGAAGTCTGCAGCATGTATCAGCGGTGCTGTTTGGACTCTGGTACGGTATTTGTGACTCTGTTTGTATGTGCTGAACGAGCTTGCCAGATGTCCTTTCATTTTCGAGCAGTCAACTCCCAATCTACTAACCTGGTTCTGCATGCTCCTGCCCCCTGGCGGCCCGAGGCATTAAACCCAGTGTCGACAAATGTGTTAAGGGTTCAGGCTCCTGACGAGTTGGTGAAACTCCGACGGAACAATCTGTCACACCCACTCTTTTGTTGTCCTCTTCTCCCTCTCTTTTCTGCCTATGGTTTACAGGGTAGTTCTGTTTGACGATACGTAAGAGGTGATGAATAGCCAGAGCTTTCCTTCCTTACTTCTTTCCTTTTTTTGTTTCGTCCTTTTTTGCCTTTGTGCTCTGATACACGGTGTGACGATATATAGTCAAACAGAGCTGCGCGGTAAACCGTAGGCAGAGAGGGAGAAGAGGACAACAAACGAGGGGCTGTGACAAACTGTTTCATCGGAGTTTCACTGACTCATCAGGAGGCTGAACCCTCAACAGTCTGCAGAATCCCCTAACTGATTACACTGTAAGGGCCTCGCCACACCACAGTCGAAAGGCCAAAAAATTCGACGGCTGTCAGAACAAATTTGACAGCCTCCATTCGACAGTTTGCCCCCCCTTCGCCACACAGCACTGTAGAGTACACGCACTTGTGAAAGCAAGATGGAAAAAGATGAACTCGCCTGAGGGTACGACAAGCATCAGTCCATCCCCACCTTACCCCTACTCACCAAATTTCGAAGCGAAGTCGATGGCGCAGCCGAGGAATGTTGAAAGCATCTGAGTAGCAGGCTGGGGATTCAACAACTTTCGACAGGAGGTGTTGAGAAGCATTCTCTGACAACTTGCAAATTTTCTTCCCGTCTCCGACTTTGACAGCCTGTGCGGTGAAGAGGAACTGTTGAAAATCGCGTTTTCGACAGTGGTGCGGCGAGCCGCTAAGTGATAATCCACCTTAACCACGGCTGTGGTTAAGCATCAACGACTGCACGACAACTGACACCCTGAGGTGGGCAGCAACCACTGCCCACATCACAAGCCAGCAAAACACCCACGGAACAAAGAAAGGTCTGACACAGCCAAAAAATACACTCCAGACACGCCGCCGGCATATATATGTTTATATGTACGAGGGTTCAGCCTCCTGATGAGTCGGTGAAACTCCGACAAAACAGTTTGTCACAGTCCCTCGTTTCTTGTCCTCTTCTCCCTCTCTGCGTACGGTTTACCGGGCAGCTCTGTTCGACTCTATATATATACAATTTTAAGTAAATGAATAAATAAGAGAAGAATGATAAAAATGAATGGTGTCAATGTGCTGTTCATGTTTGTCCTGTGTATTTCTATTGTTTGTTTTGCAAAGTGCACTCTTTTAGTTCATAGATTTGTGACAATATATAGGGAGTTCCTTTGTGGTGAATGTTACAGGATTGGCGAGGGGCGTACTGTGTATGGGTGGTATTGGGGTTGGGTCTTATGATGGCCATCTGGGTTGTGTGTGTTCATTAATTAGGGTATGTTCCAGAGGGAGGGGGTTAGTAGAGTCAGGTGTCTGGGTATTTGAGGATGCGAACTCCGCCTTCT